GGGTTGTTGGGGTGTGCAGGGTGGTGGTGGGTGGGGGTTGTTGGGGTGTTGCTGGGGTGGTGGTGGTGGGGGTTGTTGGGGTGTGCAGGGGTGGTGGTGGTGGGGGTTGTTGGGGGTGTGGGGGGGTGTGGTGGTGATGGTTGTTGGAGTGTGGGGGGGTGGTGGTGGTGGGGGTTGTTGGGGTGTTGGAGGGGTGGTGGTGGGTGGGGGTTGTTGGGGTGTGGAGGGGTGGTGGTGGGGGTTGTTGGGGTGTGGGAGGGGTGGTGGTGGTGGGGGTTGGTGGGGTGTGGGGGGTGGTGGTGTTGGTCTCTGGAGGTATGGTAGGGGACGAATATGTTGATTTTTTTAATTTTGCCGTCGAAGTGGCTAGTTTATTGCTCACTCCATATCCATCCTGTGGATGGTAGCGTAAGAGCATATGGATACACAAAAGGCCTAGGAACTAGGCCCCAAAAAGGTTAACTGGAGTACATCTGGATTTATATCTGTGGTTGACAAATGTGCATCAAGAATGATGGACTGAAGACATCGACTCCAGGCTGAGGGATTGATTACCTCAAACTCCTCCTCGCCTTCCATATTGTCCAGATTGGACTGAAGAAACCACCGTGTGGTGAAACGTTTCAAAAATAATACCCAAGTGTTGCTCGAGTGTCTCATCAATTTGTCGGATTTCTAAGCTATTTATCCACACGTTAAGGTTGTGTGAAGATTTTGGACCTGGTTCCCGAGTATTGTGTCTGTCCCAGAGTACAAATCACGATACTATCAGACTTTCCAATTAGTTTTGATGTCTTGACTGTGTGGATAGTAAACTATCTCTGTACTTTTGTTAGTTCAGGGATCATGTCTTCTGTCTTGTACTGAGCTGTGAGCACCATAGTATTAGTGCCGTCACTCACCTGATTTTTATCCTGTTTCGAAGATTCTAATTATTTACTTTATTGTTTCTTTTGTTTATACTCTTATTACATTTTTTTTTATCTGTGTGATGGTCTTATTGCGTTCTGTATCCTCTGTTCGTTTTGAGTTAATTCTTTCTCCTCTGTCCCTTCCTTTCTTAGCTCCTTGCCCCCCACCTTTCCAGAATTCCCACCCTCTCTCTTCTTCCTCCATTTTTTTTCAATCTCTCTCTTTGCTTTCTCTTTTCTCTTCCCGCCTCTTCCTGTCTCCTGTTTCTTTCCTCTTTCATCCACTTCCCTTCTCTTCCCCTCCTCTCTCTCTCTCTCTCTCGCGCACCAAATAACCTCGATACTTCGTTAAACATTAAGTGTCGTTACTCATTCTCGCATCAAAGGTAAAGATAACTGTGAACCCTGCAATAACCCAGAGAAAACTTTACAATTGTGTGTGTTCCTTGTTGATGTAGTGTTACACTTGTGTGTGTTCCTTGTTGATGTAGTGTTACACTTGTGTGTGTTCCTTGTTGATGTAGTGTTACACTTGTGTGTGTTCCTTGTTGATGTAGTGTTACACTTGTGTGTGTTCCTTGTTGATGATGTAGTGTTACACTTGTGTGTGTTCCTTGTTGATGTAGTGTTACACTTGTGTGTGTTCCTTGTTGATGATGTAGTGTTACACTTGTGTGTGTTCCTTGTTGATGTAGTGTTACACTTGTGTGTGTTCCTTGTTGATGTAGTGTTACACTTGTGTGTGTTCCTTGTTGATGTAGTGTTACACTTGTGTGTGTTCCTTGTTGATGTAGTGTTACACTTGTGTGTGTTCCTTGTTGATGTAGTGTTACACTTGTGTGTGTTCCTTGTTGATGTAGTGTTACACTTGTGTGTGTTCCTTGTTGATGTAGTGTTACACTTGTGTGTGTTCCTTGTTGATGATGTAGTGTTACACTTGTGTGTGTTCCTTGTTGATGTAGTGTTACACTTGTGTGTGTTCCTTGTTGATGTAGTGTTACACTTGTGTGTGTTCCTTGTTGATGATGTAGTGTTACACTTGTGTGTGTTCCTTGTTGATGTAGTGTTACACTTGTGTGTGTTCCTTGTTGATGTAGTGTTACACTTGTGTGTGTTCCTTGTTGATGATGTAGTGTTACACTTGTGTGTGTTCCTTGTTGATGTAGTGTTACACTTGTGTGTGTTCCTTGTTGATGATGTAGTGTTACACTTGTGTGTGTTCCTTGTTGATGTAGTGTTACACTTGTGTGTTCCTTGTTGATGTAGTGTTACACTTGTGTGTGTTTTTGTTCATGATGTAGTGCTACTGCTACAATCCAGGCACAATAAGACCTGTTATCATGGGTGTACAGGGGAGCAATGAGCAGAACAAACACAGCTGAATGACTTTGAAATATATTTTCCTTCAAGAGCAATGTGGATATTTACAGGTATGTACACTATATACAGTTGGAAAATGTATGTGTACAACACGGTTTAGGCAAGACCAAGACACAGCCTGGAGACAGAATGGACAACTGTGCTCAACCAGCTCTAGTATGGAAATGACAAGGGTAGACAGGCAGGTGGTGCCCACAACACCTCTACGATTGCCAGAACCATCTTCTCATTGGCTGAACCTAGATACTGATCGAACGATGGGGCCCCATCGTTCGATCCTAGTACTGGTTCGCTGGTTGGGGAGATAGCCTTCCAATGAGGGTGTGTACATGCGCCGAATAAAGGTTATGTACTCTTTGCATGCCACAGTTACACTTGTGTGCTCCTTGTTCATGATGTCTTGACACACTAAATGCCACTGTTGTTGAGACTGTTGTAGATGGCATAGTAGGTAACTCTGGAGTGCCAGAATATAATAACTTTGGAGTACAAAGGGTTATTGTTAACTAGGGGTGTCTTTAATTATTTCAAAAAGGAAGGGGCAAGGGGTAATAGGTAATACTTATTTTGAGAAAAAAAAAATAAGTATAAGAGATATGATATAGGATGTAGCGCCAACAGCTTCTTGGAATACATATTACTAGATAGAAGGTTAATGGTTAGTCTTGTGGATGTGTATGTTGCTAGAGGAACTACATATGTGGGAGCGTTATGTGATGACAGCTACAGTGAGAGTGAGAGCTTGATGCAGTACAAAGAGAATGACATCAGTAAGAGAAAAGTGAAAGAGAATGAATTTAAGGAGAGAGCGTGAGTTGTTAGTAAATATTGGAGGTGGTGGTTGAAGAGGTATTATAGACCCTGAACATAATCGAACACCATGTAATCTTGGCACCGGGGAAAGGCCTCGTCAACTCGTTTGCCGGCTGTTAGCATGTGTTGAATCCCCACTCGACGGTCTGTGGAGGAGACTCAAGTGTAGTCTACACTTACCACAGCTTTATCAACTAAGGACTATCTTTGATGGACTCAGCATCTTATCCAGTCTTACACCGCTTCACTAGTCACATTCCACATTTTCTTATATTCCAAGATATTAGCAAGAGGTTTCCCGTAATTTGGAAGAAGGGAAGACACAGTTCTGTGATATCCCTGTGACGGGTCTCAGGCCAGGCTTTTGACTGTTCAACTAGGCTGTTGCCTTAGGCGGCCCACAGAGCCATCACAGCCTGGTTGCTCTAGCACTTGAAGGTAGTGATTCAGTCATTGTTGGTACCAGCTGGTAGAAAAGGATGATAGAAGGCAGTAGCAGACAAGAGAAGTAGACAGTAGAGGGGGTGAGGAGGAGGCGAGAGAGAGAGAGGATAGGAGACGGTAGGGGGAAGCAACAATAGACATTAGAAGGGGGCGGAAGAAAGGAATAATAAAAAGGGACTGATTACCTCATCTTTTGTATATAGTTACAGTCTTCCCATTATGTCCATTAATTGGTATTGATAAAGTCAATGAATGGTGAAACGTCTACAAATAAAGGTAAGCAGATGTTGCACGTGTATCCAATTCATCGGAAAAAATGAGGGGGGGGGGAGACTGTATAGGAAGGCGGGTCGGTCATGTGATGACCCGCAGCTGGAGCTTTTGGTCATTGACCGAGGCCTTCCACTGGCTTACCCGTCCACCCCTTTGAAAATTATGATTATAACCATTAAAGACGAGGAGGATAGAAATAAAGGAAGATGATAATGGAAGAAGTAAAGGTACGGATGAAAGGGGTGTGGGGGTGAGGGTTGAAGAGGCTATAAAGACTTGTTATAACGCTATCACACGCCACCTGCAGCGCTTCCACACCAATTTCGCAGCCAAGTTTAATATTGAACCTCGGCTCTCCCTACTATTATTGCTTTCTTCTCCGTGTTGACGAGAATGGCGCTAGGGGTAGTATGCAACCCAGGGAGATATACAGCCTTATCATCACTCATTATTATTATTATTATTATTATTATTATTATTATTATTATTATTATTATTGATAAATTAGATACATTTTGAACACTTGATCATCTTTATTGAGGAAACCTTGCGCCACACAGTGGGCTTTATCAAGTCACAAACAGATCTGTTTGTGACTTGATGAAGCCCACTCTGTGGCGAAACGTTTCCTCAGTAAAGATACCCAAGTGTTGCACATGTCTAATTTATCAGCTCATCGAAGTTACATCACAAGCAAAGATACAACCTTCAAGGCTGGTGGAGCTCTGTGTTAGAGGTGGAAAATGTCTGGAGTTTTGAGAAACTCTGATCGCGGATTCTATCCCCGCCCGTGGTATGGTTTGTTTGCAATCGTGTCATTACGATTTCGTGAGTCCTGGAGGTCGTATACTGTTAGGGAGTCAGTAACAATGTTAGGACCACTAGCAACGACTCAGCATTTGCAGTGAATTTACTGCTGAGCGGAGGAAAGATGCATGACACACGGAAGATACTTAAAATTCTGATCCCAAATCTGCAGTGACTAAAGTTAGTGGTGTTAGTGAGGTGCAAGGAAGTGTAGATTTAGACAAGGAGGCTAATACTAGGACATGTTTGTGTGTCTTTCTAAACCAGTTTGTCATTTTTTACCAAGGTTTATACCAAGAAATTTTAGAATAAAGCCATTGAAAAGCAGGGTCGTCATGGTCACACTAAGACTACTCAACTTACTACCAACAGATTAGAAAGAAGGAGCGCTGCAGCAGGCCTACTGGCTCAGGCTAAACAGGTCCAGCAAACGCCCACCCCCACACACACATAAAGACGAGCAGAGAGATGGCGCTAAGAGCAGAGACTCAACCCACGCAGGCACAGATAGGAGAGCACAACTGG